GCTTATGTTTTATGTCCCTGGAGTTCCCCAGGGAGTATCTATTGACATTAATGCCATGATTTTTTTAAAGCTGATTTTGATATGTTGGTACGTTTTATTCCTTCTTAAATTCTGAAACTGGGTGTGTACTAGCAGGATATATTCCTTGTGAACCTATTTATCTTTTGGAACTTCAATAGAAAGAACTGCTGTCAGTCAATATTTGAGGTTGATAGGCATTCTTTTAAAAAGGGGTTACTCTTGTTCTTGATCTGATCCTTGAGTAATCGAGAAATAAGGAAAATTATGCTAACAAAATCATCAGGAAACTATCTACAAATAAACTTTGATATTTGATTTCATGAACTATGATTCTTAGCCAACTTTATCCTTTACCTTGCCACCATTGGAATTAAAGTATTTACAATCCCCAGAAAATCATATCCTTTCTACAACAGTGTGATACATTATTTATTAAAAACAAGCCATGTGTGTAATACCTAACAGTTCTATTGAAGAGAGACGCTTACTTATTTGCGAAATTTGGAAAACAGTGTGTCTTTACTTGCTTATGTAAAAATGACTGACTGATTAATCATGGGTTTTTGAACTGGTATAGATCCAGAAATGTTTCTTAGGAAAAATTCTAGCTTTGCCTGCAGGTTCTTTTTGATCTAATGCTATGTATAGAAGAATGGCCAGAATCTTGTTCAGACCACTCAGTGCTCCCAAAATGTATCAGTTGGCCATCAGCTCATTTAATCACTGGTGCCTATGAATATACTTTGACCACCAATCAGGCATATTTGCATTTCAGGTCGCTGTGTAGAAGTGTCTGTTGCTCAATTCCTAAAAACTCTTATCAGTTTAAAACAGGGGTAAGCAAACCTTTTCTGTAAAAGGCCAGATAGTAAATACTTCTGGCATTCCCATTCATGTGGCCTCTATTGCAACGATTTGACTCTGCTGTTGTTTAGTACAAAAGCAGCCATAGACAGTATGTAAATGAATGAATGTGGCTGCGTTTCAATAACATTTTATTTATGGAGACTGAAGCTTGAATTTCATGTGTCACAAAACATTATTCTTCCTTTGATATTTTTAACCATTAAAAAATGCCAAAACATTTCTCATTTTGTGGGCCATATGAAAACAGGTGGTAAGGTAAATTTGGTCTGCAGGCCATAGTTTGCTAGATCCTTGTTCAGAAAATTGAAATTATATAGAAATGTTTGAAAGACACAACTGATCATTGTGGCTGCATATTACATGTTCACCTGTTTCCCCTTGTCCTGGGCACATAGCTTTAGACTATACCCCCATCTTCCTCATAGTTAGGACTGGTCATTCGACCAAGTTCTTTTTTCATTTGAGATGGAGTCTCATTCTGTTGCCCAGGCTGGAGTGCAGTGACTTGATCTCAACTCACCACAACCTCCACCTGCTGGGTTCAAGCCATTTTCTTGCCTCATTTTCCCGAATAGCTGGGACTACAGGCACACACCACCATGCCCGGCTAATTTTTATATTTTTAGTAGAGATGGGGTTTCACTATGTTGGCCAGGCTGGTTTTGAACTGTTGACCTCATGATCCGCCCACCTCAGCCTCCCAAAGTGCTGGGATTACAGGCGTGAGCCACTGTGCCTGGCCTCATTTGACCAAATTCTAGCCACTGGAATGTGGGACAGAAATGATGTGTTGTTACTTCCAGGTCTGGCCTATAAAAACGTCCCATGCATGGTCCTTTATGAGCTTTTCTTGTGTGTAGAATATGAAGGGGCCTCAAGAAGGAAGGAGGTTGGTTCTTGTTTTGGTTTTACATGAGTGAGAAATAAACTTCTATTGCGTTGAGCCACTGAGAATTTTCAGAGTTTTCAGTTACAGCAACTAGTGTTATCTTAACTAATATGTCATTACTTTTTCCAGATATTTTTGGTTTGATTCTTACACTAAATTGAATTCTCCAAGATTTCATACTTGGATGGACTTGTTTTTCTCCTCCTCTCCTCTCCATTTCCTCCTTTTTCTTTCTTTCTTTTTGAAATGGAGTTTCACTCTATCACCCGCTGGAGTCCAGTGGCGCAATCTCAGCTCACTGCAGCCTCTGCCTCCCGGGTTCAAGCGATTCTCCTGACTCAGCCTCTCAAGTAGCTAGTATTACAGGTAACCACCACTAAGCCTGGCTAATGCTTTTTTGTATTTTTAGTAGAGATGGGGTTTCACCATGTTGGTCAGGCTGGTCTCAAACTCCTGACCTCAAATGATCCACCTGCCTTGGTCTCCCAAAGTGCTGGGATTACAGGCCTGAGCCACTGTGCTCGGCCTGTTTGCTCCTTTTCCACACTTAATTGGAAGATCATAGACTGGGTTGCTCTCTGTGTTTTAACCAAGTAAAATTTGGTGGCTATTAGCTTTCACCGAGATGTTACAAGAAACAAGAAATATCAGTTTTACCATAGTGATGTTAGTGAGAAAAGTCACTGACACAAAACCCACCTGAGAAATTCTCTGGGAACTCAGGGCCAGGAAAAACTTATCTTCCTCTGAGAAATTTGTATGTTTTCTTATCAACAAAGAGAATATGGTTGAATGTACTGATTGTGTTCCCTTTTCCCTTTTCCCTCTGGTTGCCAAGAAGCTCAGAGCCAAATTTTTGGCTCGACATTAATAACTTTGTAGGACCCTGTGGCCTACATATCTGCATTCTTAGTTTCCTACTGGTCTTGACCTTCTATTCTGCTGTGTTTTCCTTGTTCCTGATTTTTTACATTTATATTTTTTAATTTTATTGCTTGTTTTTCTTATAAGCTTCCTCAGACCCTTTGTGGAACAAAATGGTGTAAGTTAAAAAAATGGCTTGAGCTTATTAATAGAATATACCAAAAACAATCCTTAATCACCAATTTAGTGGTCTGGGAATTAGAACTTCAAATTTATTTCTTGGGTTCTCCCCTTAGTCATTATGTCTCACGGTTTGGTGAAGAGATGTTTTTGCAGTTATGAGAACTGAAGGCCTGCACATTTCACCAGTCTAAAGGAAAAAGGTAAAATGTCATTTTATCAAAAGTCCCTCTGATATGCCATAATGGAGATAGTTCACAAAGAAATTTAACAGGTAGATGATAGACTGGGAAAAGACGTCTGCAATGTTTGAAAAGCAACAGCAAATTAATGTAAAGAATATATAGTGACCTCCTGAAACTCAAGAAGAAAAGATAACTAAATAGACAAATGATTGAAAGATATAAATAGGTTATTTTCAGATGCCGAAATTCATCAGTTATCAGAGAACAGCAAATTTCAGGAAGTTATCACTCCATACTCATCCAATTGGCAAAAAAAAATTCTACTTTATTTTTTTACTCACCACTATACTATCAAGGACAATCAGCAAAAATTAAAAGGTGGACAATAGCAAGTATTGGCAGTATGTGGGTGATGGGGGTCCCCATGCACTGTTGGTGAGTGTCTGGACTGGTAGAGCTATTATGGAAAACAGTCTTTCAGTATTTAAACTACATAAATGCATTATGACTTCTCCGAGGCATGCCTTCCAGATATATTCTTCCTCAAGTTCAGTAGAAGATACACACAAAAAAGTTCATCACAGTCTTATTTGTGGTATCAGGGTATTTTAGGCATTCTTTTTTTGTTTTGTTTTGTTTTGTTTTGGAGACGGAGTTTCGCTCTTGTTACCCAGGCTGGACTGCAATGGCACGATCTCGGCTCACCGCAACCTCCGCCTCCTGGGTTCAAGCAATTCTCCTGCCTCAGCCTCCTGAGTAGCTGGGATTACAGGCACGTGCCACCATGCCCAGCTAATTTTTTGTATCTTTAGTAGAGACGGGGTTTCACCATGTTGACCAGGATGGTCTCAATCTCTTGACCTTAAGATCCACCCTCCTCGGCCTCCCAAAGTGCTGGGATTACAGGCTTGAGCCACCGCGCCCGGCCTATTTTAGGCATTCTTGTGTCCATCACAAGAGGAAAGGGTGAATAAAATGTAGTGAATGTATGTTTTACAGTAGTTAGAAGCAAGATAGTTTTACAGTTACATCTTATGATTTTAAAAAAGGGTTCAGTGAAAAAGGTATGTAAGAGTGATATATTTATCATAATACTATTTCCATAAATTTAAAGTAGCCATAAAGAAAATAACACCACGTGTTTAAAAGGATTCAGACAAATTAAGTCAATATATCAAACTCATATCTATGTATAGAGTGGAGAAGAGTAGAAGGGACAGATGATCATACACCATGAACTCAACTATTTGTACTGACATGAGAAAAAGAAGTGTGTGTCATCCTGATAGGAAGTGGCACTGTAGTGTTACCTTTATATGTCCTCAGGCATCCAAGTCTCATATGAGAAGTCACTGGTGGTGACTGCACAGAATAGAAGGGTGTATTCAGACTCACTTGGATTTGATCTCAGCAACAACTTTGAATTTACCAGCATTTTGCAGGAGCTTGAAAGTGAGAACTTTGTAAAAATCTCTGTCTCAGGCCGGGCATGGTGGCTCACGTCTTTAATTCCAGCAATTTCGGAGGCTGAGGCAGTCGGATCACCTGAGGTCAGGAGTTTGAGACCAGCATGGCCAATAAGGTGAAACCCTGTCTCATCCAAAAATACAAAAATTAGCTGGGCATGGTGGCAGGCACCTGTAATCCCAGTTACTCTGGAGGCTGAGGCAGGAGAATCGCTTGAACCCAGGAGGTGGAAGTTGCAGTGAGCCAAGATCGTGTCACTGAACTCTAGCCTGGGTGACAACAGTGAAACTCCATCTCTAAATAAAGATAAATAAAAATCTCTATCTCAGTACAGGAAGCACCTCTGACTTCATTTATTCATTCAGAGCATAGCATGGTGGCTGAGAACATGAATTCTGGAGATGACTCCTGGCTCTGCCATTACTTACCATGTGACCCTGGGCAAATTACTTCATCTGGCATGCCTCAGTTTTGATTGGTTTTGAAAGAGAGGGATAACAATTTTTTTTTTTTTTTTTTTTTTTTTTTGGGTACCAAATTTCTTTATTGGAAGGAATGGTACAAAGAACTTAAGTGGATGTTTTGGTACAACTTATAGAAAAGGTAAAGGAAACTCCAGCATGCATGTGCTGCCTTGGTGACCAGGGAAGTCACCCCATGGCTATGGGGAAATTAGCCTAAGGCTTAGCTTTCATTATCACTGTCTCCCAGGGTGTGCTTGTGAAAGAGATACTCTGCCGAGCCAGATTGGGGTGCTCCCATCTTGCGCAAGTTGGTCACGTGGTCACCCGATTCTTTGATGGATTTCACCTGCTCATACAGGTCATGTCTCAATAAAGTCACACGAATGGGGGTCATTTTTGTCAGGGGCCAGTTTGTGCAGCTCCAGTGTGACTGATTTGCTTTTTTTTCCCAAATGCAATGCACACTCCGTCGCCTTCAGCCCGCTCTCCCAGTCATCATGGTCTGGTTTCTTGACATCCTGAAGGAAGACGCGGCCACCTCGTCGGTTCTGCAGCTTCATCAGTTTCTCGGCATGTTCCCTGTCCTCATGAGATTGGTGAAGAAAGCACCCGGCAAAGTTCTTCAAAGCCACATCACCGCGGTCGAAGTAGTAAGACACGGACAGGTAAACGTGGGAGGCGCAGAGCTCCAGGTTGAGCTGGCGGTTGCTGGCGGCCTCTGAGTCCTGGTGGGTCCTGGCGCACCGGCGAGGGGGTCGTCAAGGCGGCGGCGGGGCCTGGGGGCGGTCGGAGGGCGCGGTGTGGAGGTGACGGAGGGCTGGCTGCGGGCGGCCGGCCGGGGTGGGGGAACGAGCACCGGTTCCATCCAAGCGCTGTTGAAGCAGGAACCGCGGGGACTCTCGACAAAGAACGTCTCAGTGGCTTTTACTTCATAGGGTTGTTGTGAGGATTAAGCAAGTGAATATTCTGAAGCACTTAGAATGGTTCTTGGTACACAGTAAGCATTATATAAGCATTCGTTAAATAAATAGTCATTTAACAAATACCTGAGTACCCAACATGGGCAAGGACTATGCTAGATTCTGGGAGTACATCTCAGAAAAGATGATCTTTGTTTGCTTTTCATTTTTTGAGACACGGTCTTTCTCTGTCACCAAGGTTGGAGTGCGGTGGTGTGACCATGGCTCACTACAGCCTGAGCCTCCTGCGCTCAAGCAGTCCTCCTGCCTTGGCCTCCCGTAAGTGGTGGGATTACAGGCATGAGCCACTGTCCCTTGCCAGAAAAGAGACTCTTACTCTATCTCTCGTCCTGCCCTGCCTAGGTTCCAGGGTCTTAGTCCTTGCTTCATTGCTTGTGCCCAAGCTCCGTCTATTGCTATATCTGTTGTCTTTTTTTTTCTTCTGTGTTTGTGTGTCTTTTAATTCTCTGACGAATATCCTCATTACTGAAAGATTGGGACCTGGAGAAATGCACTGATGCTTGAGGCTCCATTCCAGGCTGCTAGATCCTCCTAAGGCTACAAGCAAAGCTGGATGTCTGCTCCTGCCAGGCTCCTGGCTCCTCTCAGGTTCCACCTGGTGGTTTCGCTCACCCTTTATTGCTGGGTGGCTGCCAGAACACCTCAGCAGGTCTTTTCAAAGACCCTGTCTTTGCTAGTCTTTTCCATTACGGTAAATGGCTCTCTCCAGAGGTTCAAATCGGAATCTTAGGAGTTATCATTGGTTCCCCTTTTCTCCTCCCACCGAATTGAATCCATCAGCAAGTCCTGTTAATTCTACCTTTAAAACATCTCTTGAATGTCACAGGCTCTGTTGATCCTTGCTGTCATCACCCAAGTCCAGCTACCCACCATCTTTAACTTCCAGACTAGTCTGCCTGCTTTCACGTTTGTCCGCTGCATTCTATTTGCCACATAGCAACCAGAGGGGGGGGTCTTTAAAATATGCAAATTAGATTACATTTGAACTCTACTCAAACCCTTCAATGACCCCCATTGCACTTAGAATTAGTGCTAATAAACCAATGATTTAATTTATTAGAGCAAGGTTTAAAATCAGTGTTTCCTAACCCTTGGGTCAATCCCAGAGCCTTTTTTGCTATGAAATTTTCAAAATTAAAGAGCACAATTGCAACACTTAATTGTTTAATTTTCTTCTGTGTTATTAGATGTTTTGCTGCTAAAATTAGTTGGCTTGGGGTGGGGGAGGACTGGGACGTAACCGCCAGCAGCTGCAGCTCGTAGAAGCTGGTTCTCTCGTCTTCAAGGATTGCTCCCTAGCCTGCTGAGCCTTCTGTGTTGGGGGGAAAGTTTGCATTCTTTCTTCCTCAGGATTGTGGCCTTGAGAAGGTGTCTTCTAGTTCTCAGCAGGACCAGGCTCGAGGACCAGCCTTGGGTCAAAAACACAGGATGTGGGTGAGCATGCAGTGAGGCACTGGGCAGTCGGGACTGAGTCACCAGACAGTCCCTGAGCCATAGATGGCTGCCGCTGGGGAGGAAGCCGACGGAGGTTCAATGGAGGTGAATGTGCCAGGCTAGAGTCGAGTGCCTTCGTCAAGAGGGGAGAGTGAAGGACTTCAGGAGAAACCACAGGAACAGACGTGGAGAAGGTAAGGCCATTGCAACCTGAGAGGAGAACAGTGGAGGTTTTCAACGCCTGGCAGGACTCAGTGGAACTTCTTCCCCAACTCACAGATTAGCTTCTTTTTACTGACTCAGTTTCCCTTTCCTGATAAGCCCAGTCTCCATGAAGACTTTGTCAGAATTTAATGCTCTCTTTAAACCAGTGGGTCTCAGTCTCATTAGAATCATATGGGAAGCTTTGTTTTAAAAAAAAAAAAAAGGTTCCTGGGGTCTACTCACCTGGGTCAACAGAATCAGAATCTCTAGGGAGGTTGAGGTGGCATAGGGTTGGTGGGGTTGGGCCCAGGCATATGTGATTTTTTTAGAGGTTCACCATGTGATTCTGATGTCCAGTGAGGATCAAGAACCACTGCCTTCAGCACTCTTACTTTGAGTAAACAGGATGAGATTTAAAATTTTAGAATATTGCAGCTAGATGATACTTTGTGGCAGTGTTTCTCAAGCTTTCACGTGCACATGAATAACCTGGGGAATCCTGTTAAAAAGCAGATTCTGGTTTAGGTGGTTGGAAGTGGGGCCTAAGCTGTGACGTTTCTCATTCATGTCTGTGTGACATGGGAGCTGCCGGAGTGAGGACCACTTTGATTGCTGTGGAGCTTTAGATGGAATACAGATGGCATGCTGCCTCTGCGCCAGACCTGGGCTTAGTGCTGTGCAGTCATTGCATTCTCACAAGCCTGTGACAGAGGTGCTGTTTATAATTCCATTTTACAGGTGAGTAAACTAAGGCCTAGATAAATTAAGCATCTTGCTCAGGATGATAATGCTGGTAAGTAATAGAGGCAGAATCTGGATCTAGATGATCTGATTCCAGAAATTGTGAGCTGAACCACAATATAATACTGCTTCAAAGTCAGAATTGGGATCAGAAGAAAGCCTGCAGTTGGAAAGGGTACTCAAGGACTTGCATTGAAGCTGTTTGTATAACAAGTACATTATTTTTAAAAGGTTGTGTTTTCATTTGAGATAGCTCCTGGAAGAAGGGAATAAAAATGGGTATTAAAGAGGAGCTAAAGCTCTCTAAGCCACTCCTTGGCTTCTCCCTGTAGGCCATTCCTTCATGTTGCTGGGCAGGAATAGGAGTTCATTGCAAGGTGTATATTGCAATTCAATGGCAATATATTTCAGGTGTTGCTGTATATCTCATAGATATCCAGCTGGCTTTTGACCTGTGATGACTTTGTTGTCAGAACTGAGGCCCCTTGGATCATCATGACCTGGCCCTTGCCTGCCTTTCCCCCTCCTCTTCCACAGCTGCCTCCCTGACTTACCTGATGGGAGGCTCAAGACACATTAACTGCTTTCAGTTCCCTGACGGTATCACAATTTTATACTCCATGAATGTTATCTTTTCCATTGGATATCTTTGTTATCCTTTTCTTGACATGTTAAATGCTATCTTGTTCAATATCCTGGACAATGTAGCTCTTCCAGAAAGAATTTTCTAAGTCTCCCAGCCTGGATTAAGTAATTCGCTCTCCTTTGGTCTGTCATGGTCTCCTGTTTCTTTTAATTAGAGCACTTAAGTAATTTACTTTTCTATTTAATCAGATGGTGAAACTCTCTAGGGCTGTGCTTTCTTTATCTTTATATCCCAGGGCTTAGCATAATACCCAGCACATGGTGAGAAGGCTGACAAGTATGTGTATTGAATGAATGAATTAGCCTTTTATTCCCAGTCCAGTGTTCTTTCCACTTTTAATTTATTTTTTAATTATACTGGGGTACATGTGCAGAACATGCAGTTTGTTACATAGGTATATACATGCCATGGTGGTTTGCTGCATCCGTCCCCTGTCATCTACATTACGTATTTCTCCTAATGCTACCTTTAAAGACTTTCAACAAATGACTCACTTTTCTCTTACTTTATAGTATACTATGCTAATTGGCAGTCATCTTTGGAATGTTAAAATATGGCAACAATAGCATGAAGTTAATTGTAAAGGAAGGGAGTTTGTTCTTTATGACTCTTGATCATGCTAGGTATGAGCAGACTTTTAAATACATCTGTTTATTTATTCTCCATGCCAACTATTAGTAGTTATCTTCTCTCAGAGAAAGTGGTACACATTGGAGGAACAAGCGTGAGTGACATAAGACTCCCTCCCAGAAGTTTGCTTTCTTAAATATGAATAATTAACAGTGCATCATGTTATGCACAATGGAGGTCCACTCCAATAAGCATAGGAGGGAAGATGTGACAGGAAAGGATTCACAAGAAGCTCAGCTACACACACGTAATATACAGCAGTGGTGTCAGAGGGCCCGGATGACATTTAAGATGGTACTGAAAGGACAGCTCCAAGCACATGAGGCTATGATGTGTGTGTGTGCATGTGCGCGTTTGAGACAGGGTCTCACTCTGTCACTCAGGGTGGAGTGCAGTGGCACGATCTTGGCTTATTGCAACCTTGACCTCCCCAGGCTCAGATGATCCACCCACCTCAGCCTCCTGAGTAGCTGGGGCTACAGGTGCTACACCACACCTAGCTAATTTTTTATCTTTTGTAGAGACAGAGTTTCAACATGTTGCCCAGGCTGGTCTCAAACTCCTGGGCTCAAGTGATCCTCTCGCCTCAGCCTCCCAAAGTGCTGGGATTATAGGCATGAACCACCATGCCTGGCCTGATGTGTTTGTATATGATTAAATCTATGGCAGAAGATTTAATGTGCCACTAAAAACAAGATTATAAATGCTGTAACTCAGCGTTTTGGGAGGCTGAGATGGGAGGCTCAGCACTTTGGGAGGCTGAGGTAGGAGGCTTAGCACTTGAGTACAGGAGTTTGAGATCAGCCTGGACATCATAGCAAGACTCTGCTTCCACCAAAATAAATAAATAAATAAATAAATAAAATAACCAAAACCCCCAAAGCAACCATAGTACATCATAATGGAGTTTTACTGGAGACCCACTCTCAAAAAGAGCCCTAAAAGAATTAAATAATGGTATTTAACTGACAGACACATGGAAAAATCTGGTTTTATATCTGTAACTCAGCGTTTTGGGAGGCTGAGATGATAGGCCTGATGGAAACTGATATAAGTAACAGTTTCTTATATCAGCAGAGAAAGATGTTTTAGAGAGATGGAGGTTTCACCATCTTCGGGCAGTGACCTGCCCCTGCAATACTTCAGGGCACATCAAAAAGTGGAAGAGAAAAATGGAATCAAGAACTGCTAATTACTGCTTTTGCCTGGAAGCAATGCATTTCACTTCCTTTTCTCATTTCATTGGCCAGAAATAATTACATAGCTATGAATAAAATAAGGCAGATGGCGGAATTGTAATCTTTGTGTGTCCTGAAGTGGAGAACATTTGAATATTGGGGAATGTTACTAATGTATACTGTGGTCAGTCTATTCAGCGTCACCCATGTGTGTTGGAAATAGAACGGTGTGCTTTACAGAAATGAAGAAAAAAATGACTTCATTGCTATTGGTTATTATTGTTTTTATATTCTAATACATGTAGCATTGTTTCCAATCAGATTTTTATTTAAGAGTAGTAGCAAGACTGATCTTCATCAATATTAAAACAATTATTTTCAATCTTTGAAATTAAATTAAAGGCTATTACTTAAAGCAGCATGAATATGAAATCCAGGTAACAATCAGTATGATGATTGGCTTACAAAAATAATTTTAATGGAATCAATGTACCCATGTGGAACACCTGCAAGAGCAACTTCCATATGGAATTTACCTCAGTGAGCTGGTTTAAAGTATGAGCCAGCAATGCAAATCCAGGCATATCACATTATTATTATTATTATTATTTTAAAGAGATGAGGGCTATCACTCTCACCCAGGCTGGAGTGCAGTGGCAGAATCTTGGCTCACTGCAGCCTAGAACTGCTGAGCTCAAGGGGTCCTCCTGCCTCAGACTCCCAAGTAGCTGGGACCCAGATGTGTGCCACCACACCTGGCTATTTATTTATTTATTTATGTAGAGACAGGGTCTCACCATCTTGCCCAGGCTGGTCTTGGACTCTTGGCCTCAGGCTATCCTCCTACCTTGGCCTCCCAAAGTGCTGGAATTATAGGTAAGAGCCACTGTGCCAATGTGCCTGGCCCATTCAAAATACAAGATGTATGCATTGTTTTGGTTTTCAAAAATTGCTTTCAAAATCTCTCACACACTACCACTCCCTTCCCCACTGTGGTCAGGATGGAGGAAAGATTTGGGGAAGGGAAAGGATGGAATCCACTTGGGGTAGATTTGGTGGGAATAAAACAGTTCTCTGAGAAAAAAGGGGACTGCACTGTTTCTTTCGCGCAACTGCGGAACTAAATCCTAATATTTTTGAATTTGCTAACTTTAAGTAGCCATGTGAATTCAGGTGATAAGAGAGAGGGAGGTTGTTCTTACTCCTGTTTTCTTGGGGTAGGTTTTTCTGTACATCACAATTATTTTATCTTGCACACAAGGAGATGTTGAAGATGAGTTGAGTCAGTGGAGGATTGGGTGGGAGTGAAGCGTGGACCTATGCAGAGCCTGCTGCAATGCCTCCCTTCCCAAGCCAGTGCAGACCAGGCTTCTGTCAAGATCAGAGGGGCCAGAGACCAAGTGATGCCCAAAGACTTCACAGACACTAACATGGGGGTGATTACATGAATCTCAGACCTAATTTTTTTAAAAGCCTATGACTTAGGATATAAGACAAAAAGTAAGAGGCAGATGGACTCAGTGTGGTAACCTTTTAACATAGAATTAGCATTCATTTCTTCATAATATATTTGGGTATAAAATCTTTATTGTGCTTGAAATTTTATTAAAAATGCAATGAATTTTAGTTTGTTCATTTGCAGCCTCTCATTCCTCAAATTGTTCTTTTGTAAGAAATGATTCATTTGATGGTCATTGTTTAATGAAAGACATGGGTAGTTATGAAAGAAAACTGTCACCAAACATTCATCTGGTGACTCCTGTGTGCCGATGCTGTGCTAACAATGAATGGTACTTTGCAACACTAATTTT